ACGGTAAATAAATTAGAAACTTTTTGTGAGCGCCAGGGTTACCCATTTCCCAATTTATCTGAACCGTCGATTCTACACTTCTTAGCAGAAGGGTTTAAAAACAATGAAACTTTTTCCTTCTTTAACAAAGTAATTCCAAGTGTTCGAGCGCTGGAAACAGTGTTAGCAGTAGAACAATCAGCAATTACAGATACAGTAAAGGCAGCGTCTAACAGTCTTAAGAGAAAAGTAGCAGAAAGAAAGAAACCGGTAAAGAAAGCATTTGCATTTGATTGTTCGGTAATTTTGGATCTCATCCAAAAAATTATAATTCCCCATGAAGAAGAGTTATTCAAAATCAAAGCAGAAGAGTTCAGAGCACTGGTTAGATGCGTAGTTATTTACCATAGTTTCTGCAGGTTCTCCGATTATAACATACTCCGAGATACTGATCTGGACGATCAAGGATCACACATTGTGATCTTCTTTGCCAGGAGTAAAAACGATCAGTATTATGAAGGCACCTCTAGTTTTATCCCAGCCAGACCGGGATCAGCAGGATGCCCAGTGGCGTTGTTACGCCTATATTATCGACGATTCAACCTCAATTTCAAAGGAAGAGTGTTAACGGGAAAATTTTTGAATTTCAGAATATCGAAGCAGTTTGGTTACCATTCAGCTATGGCAGGAACCCGGTTGTCCCAATCTACAGCAGTTGAACAAGCAAGATCAATGATGAGGAAATATGGGTACGACGGAGCTAAGTATACTGAAAAATCATTTAAGGTTGGCGGTGTCACTGCTTTGTGCGAGTCGGGTGAAGCTCTAGAGAATGTAATGATTGCAGGGAGATGGAGAAACATGTATACCCCTATGCACTACAGGAATACATCAGTCAACTTCCGGTTAGATATTGTGCAGAACTTACCGGTTAATGGATAGTTAGAAAGATTGTAATTATAAATGTGCAATATTATCATGGTAATTATAAATGTGCAATATTCTTGTAGTGGAACTGATCTAGATAGTCAATATGGTCAATAAGTTAACACAATTTGTCAATTTTAAGACTTATACAGGCTCCATCAGCGCCATATAGCCCACGGTTAACAGCAGTTTTACATTTCAGATAGGATGGTCGATCCAGCTGCTCTTAGCTGAGCCAATCCAGGAGCAGTCCGGAACATCGGTTTTTAACTGAGCTAACTCAGAAGCAGTCCGTATAGCAGCGGTCTTCAGCTGAGCAACTCGGTAGCAGTCCGTAGTTAGATCCGATCTAAGCAATCTCTCTCCGCCTAGTCTCGTGAATTAGTTGGAAGCTGACTGATCCAGGATTGAGCCAGATAAGGTTTAGTCGCCTAAGAATTCAAAGAAGCATATGTAGCAGGGAATTGTCATTTTTCTCGAAGCCTCAGCCCCTCAAAACGAAGAGAAAAATATAGTGTTAATCTTCACTTCATGCAATTTATCCAACTCTTTTGGAGAACTTTTAACAAGATTTATTGTTTGTACTTTTTAACTTATTGTTTCTTTGATTTGATATGTATTTTTAATTGTGTTTTGTTATTGATTAATTTGATAGAATTTCAGCTATTTATTGATGAAAACTTCAACTTAATGATCAAATTATTTGTAAAACATGGTTTATATTAGCTGAAATTAACAAAAATTGTCCATTGGAACCATAGTAAATAATATCATATCTGTAATTTATTTTCATACTGAATCTAATTTTTAGATAAAGAATGGCAGAGACTGGGAAAGTAGAATTAGATTTAGAAGAGTTTAAGATTAAAGATGAGAAAGTTTCCATCAAGGAAGAAATATTACCATCCCCTACTGCAGTAGAGGATACCTGTTATGTGGATATAGATATAAAAGGTAAACTTGAAATTAATTGAAAGCTTTACATTTTCTTACAAACTATGAAGTGTTATACATGAATTCATATATTATGCATAATGAGCATTAGACATTCCTCCCCCCCCTTCCTAGTAAAAAAAGAAGCCAGAAGCCGGAAACTCTTTAAAATAAACTCTTTGAGAAAATAAATTATTTTGTTAGGGAAGATTATCTTATTAAAAGAGTATTATTTTTAATCTATTAAAAGAATAAATCTTGAGTTGAAGAGGTGAGAGGGAATTTACCCCTAGAGCGAACCAAGAAGCTGAAAACTCTTAAAAATCTAATTCTTTGAAAAAGTATTAAATAATTTATTTTGCAAGAAAAAATATCTTACAAAAAAAGTATTGTTTTTACTCTCTTAAAGCGTCAAAAGAATAAATCTTGAGTTGAGGAAGAATTTACCCCTAGAGCAAACAAATGTATTTTTTTAGGTGTACAAGATGTTGATAACAGTAAACCTGTATTTGATCCTGATTTTCACACCGAGCTAATCATTAAAGACGAATTTGAGGATTGTAATTTAGGTAATATGGAAACTTATATATTTAATAGAAAAAAATACCTATAAAATATAAATAACAGGTGATCTTTTAAATATAATTTATGTTATTCTATTCCTATTGAAGTGGTGCAGTGAGATAGACCCTACCCTGATTCCTTTCTTTAGATTGATGGGGGGATATTTTATTTATTTATTCAATTGCAAGGTTCTTGAAATCCATTTTCTTTAGTAAAATTAGTGATTTAGGTTTTAAGGTTATAAAAATATAGATTATTGGTGTTTTTACAGTTTTTTATATTGAATTAGCAAAAGAAACTTGTTGAATATTATTAAATACTACTATCGTTGTTCAGGTGAAAACATGGATGACAGATTTGATGATTTTAAATCAGAACCAAAGCGAAACAAGAAGCGTAAAGTGGAATACGCTTGTAAGGAGTGTGAGTATGTTGCAACTCAAGCAGGCAATTTAAAAACCCACATTGAAAATAAACATAAAGGAATAAGATATCCTTGCTCTTGAGTATTTTGCAACTAGAGCAAGCAATCTAAAGATTCATTATGAAAATAAACATATAGGAGTGAAATATCCTTGTTCTCAATGTGAATATATTGCAAATCATGTAAATAAAGTAATTTAAAAACCCACATTGAAAATAAACATAAAGGAGTGAGATATCCTTGCTCTGAATGTGAGTATGCTGCGACGACAGCAAGCAGTCTGAGAACTCACATTGAAAATAAACATGGAGGAGTGAGATATCCTTGTTCTAAATGTGAATATATTGCAAATTATGTAAGTTCTCTGAAGGCTCATGTTAAAAGTCAACACGAATGAGTGAGATATCCTTGTTCTAAATGTGAGTATATTGCAAATTATGAAAGTTCTCTGAAGGTTCATGTTGAAAGTATACACGAAGGAGTAAGATATCCTTGTTCTAACTGTGAGTATTTTGCAACTCAAGCAAGTAATCTAAAAACCCACATTGAAAATAAACATGAAGGAGTGAGATATCCTTGTTCTAAATGTGAATATATTGCAAATCATGTAAGTTCTCTGAAGGCTCATGTTAAAAGTCAACACGAAGGAGTGAGATATCCATGTTCTAAATGTGAGTATATTGCAACTCAAGCAGGTAGCCTGAAGACACATGTTGAAAGTAAACAAAGGAGTGAGATATCCTTGCTCACAATGTGAGTATGTTGCAACTCAAGCAGGTAGCCTGAAGACACATGTTAAAAGTAAACACAAAGGAGTGAATTATCCTTGCCCTCAATGTGAGTATGCTGTAACTACGGCAAATGTTCTAAAGGTACATGTTGAAAATAAACATGAAGGAGTGAGATATCAATGCTCACAATGTGAGTATGCTGCAACTACAGCCTGAAGGTACATGTTGAAAATAAACATGAAGGAGTGAGATATCCTTGTTCTCAATGTAATTACGCGGCAATTATAGCAAGCCATCTGAAGGCTCATGTTGAAGGTAAACATGGAGGAGTGACGTATCCTTGCCCAAAATGTAAATTTGCTGGAACTACAGCAACAGGGCTGAAGATGCATGTTGAAAATAAACACGAAGGGGTTGGATATTCATGGTCTCAATGTGAATATGGTGCAACTGGCGCAAGCATGACACGACAGCATTTACATTTTTTTTTAAATAGGAAATTTCCCAAAAACCTAGGCATTTGGGAAATTTCCCAGATACCCAGGCATTTGGGAAATTTCCCAGATACCCAGGCATTTGAGAAATTTCCCAGATACCCAGGAATTTGGAAAATTCCCCAAATTCCTATAGGTATTTGAGGGTGGGATATTTTTAAGATTTTGGAAATTTCTCAAATGCCTGGGTACTTGAGAAATTTCCCAGATACCGAGGCATTTGGGAAATTTCCCAGATACCCAGGCATTTGGGAAATTCCTATTTTTGACATTTTTGATAATTGCTGTCACTCCCTCGGCGCAAGTAATCTAAAGAGACATGTTGAAGTTAGACATAAAGTAGGGAGGTATCCTTGCCCTCAATGTGTGTATGCTGGAACTACAGCTAGTAACCTGAAATCTCATGTCGAAAGTGAACACAACGTAGTGAGATATCCTTGTTTCCAATGCGAATATTCTGCAACACACGTAGAGAAACTGAAGATTCATGTTAAAAGTAAACACGAAAAAGACAGCTATCCATGTTCTCAATGTAAGTATATTGCAATGCGAGTAAGTATGCTAAAGATTCATATAAAAAATGAACATGAAGGAATGAGGTTTCCTTGCCCTCAATGTAAATATGCTGCAACTTGGACAGGAGATTTGAAGAAACATTTAAAATATAAGCATATGTGACAAAGATATCTCTGTGTTATTTGCGAACATTCTGCAATTAAGTGTTTTTTTTGTAATTATCTAACAAGACATGTTAAGTATAAACACAAAGAAGTAAGACATATATGTCATAAGTACTGCAATTACAGCAAGTAATCTAAAGATTCATATTAAAAGTAAACATAATGGAGTGCTGAATTAGACATATTAATTAATCATTAAAGAGTGAGATTTTGAACATATTGATAATTATTTTTTATCATCCAAATTATTTTTGAATTTGGTCATAAATGAAGTAAATTTTTTATAAAAATAATTAAGCAATGTACTAATTTTGTATTATTTAATGGTTTTTGTAATGATATCGGAATTTATTTGATTAGGCTTAATTTACGTTTCAGATAGAATGGCAGAGATTATAAAGAAAGAAGTAGATGTCAAGGAATCTGAGATAATCTCTACTGTAGAGGAAACATGTTTTGTTAATATACCTGAAGATGATATAAAGCTGGAAAATACAGAAATACAAGGTAAACTTAACAATTCTTCATCTTGTAAACTTTAAGTTTAACATTTTAAAGTTAAAATAAATTTTTATTTTTATGATTTTGCATTTACATAAAGATTGTCTTATTTATTAAAAAGTTGAGGTTGAGATGGGGGGGGGGGGATTTTGAGATAAACACTAGACCACATCTTGGTCCAAAATATTTAAGAAGAGTTACATCTTAAGGACTGAAAAAAAATAATAAGATTTAAGAGAAATAAATGTCTTTTACTATTCAGGAGAAAATATTGTTCGTGAATTTGATCCTCTGCACTCTGAACCTAAACCAAAGAGAATCAAGAAGTGTAAAGATGGATATCCATGTTCTAAATGTGAGCATACTGCTACTACAGCCCGTGATTTGAAGAGACGTGTTGAAAGTAAACACGAAGGAGTAAGATATCCGTGCTTAAAACGTGATTATGCTGCAACTCAAGCAGGTCACCTGAAGTTTCATATCGAAAGTAAACACGACGGAGTGAGATATCTCTGTTCTCAATGTAAACATTCCACAACTACAGCAAGCGATCTGAAGAGACATGTTGAAAGTAAACACGAAGGAGTGAGATATCCTTGCTCTGCATGTAATTTTGTTGCAACTAGAGCAAGTAACCTAAAGGCACATGTTGAAAATAAAAAAAGGAGTGAGGTATCTTTGTTCTCAATGTAAATACGTGGCAACTACAGCAAGTGCTCTGAAGAATCATATTGAAATTAAACATGAAGGAGCAAGATATCCTTGTTCTTAATGTGACTATGCTGCAACTACAGCAAGTGTTCTAAAGAATCATATTAAAATTAAACATGAAGGAGTGAAATTTCTTTGTTCTCAATGTAAATATTCGGCAACCACAGCAAGTAGCCTGAAATTACATGTTGAAGCTAAACATGAAGGAGTGAGATATCCATGCCCCCAATGTGACTATGCTGCAACTACAGAAAGTAACCTGAAGAATCATATTGAATATAAACACAAAGGAGTGAGATATCCTTGTTCTCAATGTGATTATAGTGCAACTAATGCAAGTAATCTGAAGAAACATGTTGAAAGTAAACATGAAGGAGTGAGATATCCATGCACTCAATGTGAATATAGTGCAACTTACGCAAGTCATCTGAAGGAACATGTTGAAAGTATACACAAAGGAGTGAGATATCCTTGTTCTAAATGTGAGTTTATTGCAACTCAAGCAAGTAATTTGAAGAGACATATTGAAGGTAAACACAAAGGAGTGAGATATCCTTGCCCTCAATGTGAGTATATTGCAACGCATGTAAGTGCTCAGAAGTTTCATGTTGAAAGTAAACATAAAGGAGTGAGATATCCATGCTCACAATGTGATTATACTGCAACTACAGCAAGAGTTCTAAAGAGACATGTGGAAAGTAAACATGAAGGAGTGAGATATCCTTTTTCTAAATGTGAGTTTATTGCAACTCAAGCTAGTAATTCTGAAGGTTCATGTTGAAAGTAAACATGAAGGAGTGAGATATCCATGCTCACAATGTGATTATACTGCAACTACAGCAAGAGTTCTAAAGAGACATGTGGAAAGTAAACATGAAGGAGTGAGATATCCTTTTTCTAAATGTGAGTTTATTGCAACTCAAGCTAGTAATTTGAAGATACATATTGAAGGTAAACACAAAGAAGTGAGATATCCTTGCCCTCAATGTGAGTATATTGCAACGCATGTAAGTGCTCTGAAGTTTCATGTTGAAAGTAAACATAAAGGAGTGAGATATCCTTGCTCACAAAGTGATTATGTTTTAACTCAAGCAGGCAATCTAAAAACCCACATTGAAGATAAACATGAAGGAGTGAGATATCCTTGCTCTCAATGTGAATATGCGGCTACTATAGCAAGTGCTCTAAAGATTCATGTTGAAAATAAGCATGAAGGAATAAGATATCCCTGCTCTCAATGTGAGCATACAGCTTCTACAGCAAGTGATCTAAAGAGACATGTTGAAAGTAAACATGAAGGAGTAAGATATCCTTGTCCTAAATGTGAGTTTTCTGCAACTAAGGCAAGTGATCTTAAGATTCATATTGAAAGTAAACATGAAGGAGTAAGATATCCTTGTCCTAAATGTAAATATGCCGCAACTTAGAAAGGACATCTGAAAAAACATTTAAAAAATAAACATACATGAGTTCAGATATCTATTTTCTAATTGTGATCATGCTGTGAAAGAGTTGCACAAAAAATTTCCATGACTGGTGGCTATTAAACATTTATTTTTTGGTTTGTAGTTTGGGGAAACTCATGTAATTTTCTTATCGTATCACAATTTTTTATTTATATTATTTGAAGTTTTATATTTCATGTTTGAAAACTTAATTTAAGTAATTTTGATAATTATTTGTGTATTATCAATAATTTGGCTGTAACCTAGTGGTATAAACAAAATCACTTAATTCTTAAAAAGCTGTAAAAGCTGAAGTAAGAAGTGTAAAAAATCTAAGAATAAATAATGAAATCAATCATAAAAAAGGCAGCCTTATTGATCGTTACGAATAAAGGTTGTTTGTCATTAATTAATAATCTATATTCTCCTATGATTATTTTAACTGAATAGACATGTTTTCATTTTAATAGGTGGAAATTTTGTCACGAATGTTTATATTTTTCATATAGAATTGCAGAGATTATAAAGGCATAGATGTCAAGAACTTTGAGATAACTTCTATTGTAGAGAAGACATGCATTTTGTTAATATACCTGAAGAAATGAAATTTTACTTTAAAAAAAAAATGTTTTTCTTTAATTTTTATTCATGTTCCTCCTAGAAATTGTTACTATTGAAATACAGGAAACAGTAGAGAATAAACTTGTATTTATATGTTTAGATGTATTTAATTCTGAAATACAGGAAACTGTACAGAATAAACCTGTATTTATATGTTTAGATGTATTTAATACTGAAATACAGGAAACTGTAGAGAATAAACATGTTTTTATATGTTTAGATGTATTGAATACTGAAATACATGAAACAGTAGAGAATAAACCTGTATTTATATGTTTAGATGTATTGAATACTAAAATACAGGAAACTGTACAGAATGAACATGTTTTTATATGCTTAGATGTTTTTAACTTTATCAATTTATTTATTTTTTTATTTTTTTATGAAAC